ACAGTAAACTACGCAAGGGGAAGATAAGAAATTCATAATGCATTTCAATCAGTCCACGTGAATGGAGGAGAACTCTTGACGAACTTGGGCAAGTTTGGGAGGATGGTATTTCAATCTTATATAAATAAATGCGAGCTGAATTTAGCTGGCTCAGAATCTAATCCAGGGACGTGTTGTTTTGGATGCAGCGATGAACCCTCCGGTTACAAATAAGTCTGGGAACTTAATGACCAGATTGGTGACTATCAGCTTCTAAATATATACTCTGCTATGCTGGATAACTGTTTCACACAGTTCCGTAACTTGCAAATATATTATTTTCTATTTTGCATTCGATGTTCATTATGCCAGATTCATATCTGTTGTTCCATACTTAATCGCACTACAGATGTCGCATTGCACAGTGTTCTGCCACATTTCAGTTATATTTCGTTAAATATTTATCGAATCTAAAATGTTCAAATGAAAGCTGCAGGCATAGATCTTAATAACATCTGTATCACGTGTCACGGAACACCACGTTGCAGAATTAATCATTTCTGAGAAAACGAATAAAGTTAAAATTGAGCTTCATACAAAATACGGGGATAAATAAAATAATGTTCTTTTAAGTTGCAAGGTACATCGGTGGCGATTATTTATATGCCCCAGAAAAGGTGTCCAATCTACTCCATAGCTTCAACCCCAAAGCATGCTACAGGCGCTAACAACACAGACTGAGCGATCAACAAGGATCATCCGTCATCCCCTGATTTCTTCACCCATTCGTACACCTTCTCCTGCCTTAGATAATTATGGAAATACTGAAGTGTCACCCTTCCTTAAATTTAACTTATTTTCATACCGTATGCTCACAAAATTCTGGCCCCAGAACGCTGTAAATATTTTGTTTATTCTGCCAGCTGAGCTACAACTGTAGGCATGCCATTGTTCTCACCACACAAAAGACAATGAAGACGAACTACATGCAGCTGAGAAAAGACTTCTTCTTACGTAGCTTTTGAAGAAAACTACAATTTTGACTTTCCATCGCTGTTTTAAAATTGTATCAGTATAGATATAATGTATGAGTTCTTGGTATATGGCTGCATGAAATACTGTGTGCGGCTGGTTGGTGGTAATAACCACTGTAGGAAGAATACATTACGATGGGGTCTGGAGAAAACTACATAATGACGAACTTAAAAATTAATAATTCTCCCCCAATATTGTCAGGGTGATTAAGTCGAGAAGAATGATATGGACTGGTTATGTAGCACGCATGGATGGGGCAAGAGGTGTGCACCGGGTAATGGTTGGGAAACCTGAGGGGAAGAGACCGCTGGGGAGACCTAGACGTAGATGGAAGGATAATGTGTGGGAGATAGGAGTTGAAGGAGACTGGATTTTGTTGGCCCAGAACAGGGACAGGTGGAGGTCTTTGGTTAATTCGGTGATGAACCTTCGGGTTCCGTAAGCCATCTAGTTAGTTAGTTAGTCAACAAATTGCCCGCCCCTTTTGGAACTGATGGTGTTCACAAGAGCCCGTCAAAGGACAACATGATGGGTTAAATTAATCAATTCTTCTACCACAAACCATACTTTTGAAGATCCATATCGATATTTCTCTCTCATACACCCCTGGATGTCCGAAAATGTCTCTACCCTTCACATTGCCTATCAAAAATTTTATAAGAATTTCTCATAGCTCCTGTGCATGCTATATGACGTGCCCCATTCATTCTTTGCACCGACAATATAAAGGTGGGTCAGAATTATGCAAAAGAACACAATGTTAGTGCAGTCATGTGGTAAAGCTGCTCCTAGGGCCCAGAAAGTTAATTTTATTGTACAATACCACTTGCGTGAATTCAGCTCTCAGAAACCAGGAGAAGTCATCATCACAGACAACTTCATGATCCTTTATGTTCCAAATAAAACTCCCGTCATACCAAACCAAAAAGCCGTCCCTAATGGCACGTGTTCATTATATGTTAAATAGATTGACATAAAATATTGATCAGGATCATCAAGAATTTTAAAATTTACCATTGCGGAGAACAGATGAAGAGACCAGAACGAATAAAATACTGAAAAACTAAAATAGTGGTCTAAAAACTTAAATAAATACTTGTAGTATTTTTATGAAATATATAAATGTTCTTCAATAATTGTGGACTTTTTCACTCTAAAGAACTTACGTTTACAAAACGTGGGAAAAGGGCAAAATTTTGTCATTCGGGCTATAGAGGACAGAGAAATCATGGTAACAGAATTTAAATACGCCAGTTTTGCTGAAGCTTGGGAGGAAGTGTTACTCGATTTTCTGACTCCCTGCAAAATTATAAACGGTTATTTCCACTTTTTCAAAATGACTGTTTTGTGTGTTTTCGTTCCTACGCATCGAATTAAATGTACAAATTCGGCCAAATGCATTGATCCGTACATTAGTGCAGACGCTAGCCATGGTTCCTTGCTAATGAGAACACATCCTCGATCTAACCTGCCACCCATAATTTGCTATCCCACCAAAGTGAAGTTGCTGATTTTCATCTCCGTCACCTCACTCGTAATACTGCTCTGCCTCGCGTAGCCGGAAATGGACCTCGGAGTTTAGATCTCGCTGCTTTTGAAAGGGGCGAAAGAAAGCCTCCAGCTGAAGCTTATTGAAATTCCTGGCAACTTCCCATCTTTGTCCGAGGCGTGTATGTGCCCACCCAACTCCTTTGACAACACTGTAACAGACTGCGTTCTGATTGTGCCCAATTGCTGTGACGTTATACGATATAGCTGTCTAACTTACTAGCGCCGTGGTACAGGGTCTGTGTTGAAAAGTAGACAGTTACTCAGCTTTTGAAGAAGTTTCATGCGTTGTGAAACTCTTAAAATACACCCCGTTGTGATTAAGTCGAAAGTAATCAGCACCTTCATACTGTACTTATTCAGGACCAGTTTAAAACAATCCAAAGTTATCTCTCCTGATGAGTCTATCTTACAAAAAATAAGCACACGTTTCTTATTTTGCTATTCGTACTGCGTGTACTGTTTATCTGTTCCTTGTTAGTTTAATTATGTTATTAATATTAGCTGATAAGTACTGTTATAAATTCAGTCACAATACAAATTTCTCCGTCGTTTTATGGTCTCTTTCATGCCTTCTCCTTAGACCTCGGTCTCAGACCACTCTTACTTCCAATACAGTGTTCGCATCTTCGTGTAGTTTAGTCTCAGCTTTTTAAAGGACGCTGGATCAACTGCAGCTTAAGATGACCTCTGCGTATGAATACTGAAACTAGGAAACTTCCGAGTACAGATCTAGAGATTAAGCTACTAACCACGCGTCATTTCAGAACGGTTTCTTGTTGACACATTAGTGGGTGGTCTGTTATCGTCACTGGGAGTCAACTTAGGTTTGCTTCAGGACCTGCAGATACGCGTCGCACGTAACACAAATTTCATTAATTCTCTATAATACGATGATGATGATATAACATCTAGGCTCAAAGTCGCTAATTTTCTGGCTATTGTTATTTGAGATATACTTACTGACTATGAGACACATAGTATGACAGTTAATTACATTCACGTCCTTGCAAAGCCATACGAGAAATATCTTTGGGTCTAGAGGACTTCATGGCGATGACAGAGGCAGTATGACCTCAGAAACATCTGTAAACATCGACCATTCTACACAGCGTAACAACCCAGAAGACAGAAATCTTCATACTCATCGCTCTGATGATGGAGGCAGTATGACCTCTGAAACGTTGGTTAACATCGACCATTCTATACAGCGCAACAACCCAGAAGACAGAAATCTTCATACTCACCGCTGTTAAAACCTCAAATTTTACATCTTAAGAGAGACTTGAACCCTGGAACGTTTTCGGGTCTGTGACCTTAGATCTTGTATTTTCCTCTCCGAAAAAGAAAGAATTTTGCCTCAGCGTCGTTCTGTTATCGCGATTAAATTCCCGTAAACAGAAACCATCCATGTCACGAATCGAATCCAGTGTCGAGGCCTCTGTTTTTGTAATTTCCTCTTCGGAGCTAAAAGAAACTGATCCTGGCGTCGTTGTTCGATCATCCCATGCCGGAAATCGAACTCAGGACACTTTTCCCAGATTTATGACCTTCCAGTGTTCTCTCAGTTGTCTTAAGGAATAATTACGCCAGGTTTCATCTTCACAAACCACAAGCGAACGAGTAAAGAAATGTCAACCCTCAATTTCGACTTCTGCAGTATTTACAAAGGGAAAATACGACAGGTCCTTACAAATTCATCTTCTGGGCCAGAGGATAATTTTCTAATTTTTGACTTAGTCAATCAGATCCTTTTCCAGGAACAATAACAGAATTTGCCCTAGCGCCATTCTTCCCTAGTGCTTGATGTCCGAACAACAGAAAACATCTTTCCCGGGATTCGAAAGAAGGAAACATTTTTCTCTGGCCCAGGGGCGATAAGCTCAACGGCGCCCGGGCCCCTCAAAAATCATCTTCAAAATTAATCAATTACACTGAAACCGAGCGCTATTTTTAAATAAGGGCGAATGAAATTGCAGTTTTTCCTTCACGTCTCTTCCGAACATTTTTAAATTTATTCTCTTATAGGAAAAGTACCTAGTATTAATTATTTACTTGTTACATTTATGATTGAATGTAACCAAATTGTAAGTTAGAGTATTTCTCTTTTTCTTTAACTACCAACAATGTGTAAATATGGACCGACAATGGTCAGCCCTTATGTGAACACCTGCGTGTATAACAATACAAGAAAAGGCATTGGAATTTCTATCCGACACCTGCAACAATCTTGGCTGATCATGCCGTAAGGCTCTTTTTTCATTTATTATGCATGCTGTATAATTGCCTGAATGAACCGTATTGCACTCCACTCTTTCACCGAAGAAACAAATTGTTACGTCATCTGTTTACTCAGCATTGTTGTTTCATTATTGCCCTCAACAATCCGCTTTCGTTATTGCGGAAAGAGCTGAGCTGTGAATCGCTTGTAGAAGAAGTGCGTCGTAGAGTAGACAATTTTGTGCTGTTGAAATCCTTTTAGAATATCACGATTACTTATCTTATATAAGAATTGTTAAGAAGTCTGTGAAACTGCCCTCAACACTCTCCATTTTAGTTTTGATTAAATTGATAATTGCCGGTGGACGTCGTGGTCTCTTATAATTGAAGAAAGTTTGAGGTAAGGGATTCCTATTTATTATTAATGTTCATCACATTTAATGTTTTCATCTGCATTTGTGAACTCGTTTAAGAGAATTAGGCTTGTCTTCTTTTTAACACAATTTCAAGTAATATTACATTGACTTCTGTTTGTTCACGGCATCATTGATAGTGAAAGGATATTCCAGTGGGCAATTAACATTTTACAATTTTAAAAGAATAATAATGTGTTTCGTAGCCCAGAATCTTAATAAAAATATATGGATGCTAAGAAGTGGGGTACATATTCTGAATAATAATTCTATCACTTTACATTTCTTGATACATCGACATTATTAAAGCGTTTTAGGGAACTGCTAAGAATTTTTATTTCTGATTTACAAGCCTAATTATCGATAAATCTCCCTTTTATTATCTCCATACAACAGCTGATTAAATCCGGGGAATGCTTGCTATCAATGAGTGCAAAGTATTTATGGGTGCAAAACGAGAAACATAGACTGAGGGTCTCTGAGAACAGAGTGTTGAGGAAGATGTTAGAACCCAAAACGGGAGTGGGACAGATAATAGAGAAAAACGCATGACGAGCTCCTCACAAGATTTTGTTAGGGGGAGGTGGGTAGGGGAGGGGTGTTTACAAGGCCTGAAGGGAGGAGACCTCTGGGAAGACCTCGGCGTAGGTTGGAGGATAACATTAAGATGGATCTTAGGGAGATGGGACTCGATGGAGCGAACTGGATGCAACTGGCTCAGGATAGACCCCGGTGGCGGGTTTTTGTGAACACGATAATGAACCTTCTGATTCAGTAAAGGAAGTGGGCTATTCTTTGACGAGCCGAGTACCATAGAATATCTTGTACATTGCAGTGTGTGAGTAGCGTGATGTAGGCCTGATCTACGCATGCGTTAGAACAACGAACTGCTTTTGTGACTGTTCCCAACTGTAATTCTCGCGTTCATTTGATAAATTTAATATATATTTTGTGCTTGTAGTATATATAAATGTGTAACTTAGGCAGGAAAGTCCTTAACCACGTAAGCTCTTAAGCACTTTTAGTTCTACAGAGAGAGAAGTACTCGAAAATGTTATGCTTATGAAACGGTGTAGCGTTCTTTATCCAAAATTTATTTGTTAACTATCTGTTTCTGCATCAAAGGTCACGCAATTTCTATGGAATATTTTTGTCGTAATTTCTTTAAATCGGTTCACCAGAGTAGAAGCTTCTAAGACTCTATAGATTACTTGATATTTTATACGTAATGTCTACGTAGTTTACATATAAGAAGATTTAAATGTATGCGAGTAATAACAAACACGCGGCATGACTTAATATTGCCTATATCAGTCACGTCTTCACGGTGATTAAGTCGAGAAGAGTGAGATGGGCGGTGCATGTAGCGCGCATGGATGGGACAAGAGGTGTGCACCAGGTATTGTTTGGGAAGACTGAGGGGACGAAACCACTGGGGAGACCTAGACGTAGATGGGAGGATAATCTCAGGCGGGATCTATGGGAGATAGGAGTTGAAGGAGACTGGATTTCGTTGACCCAGGACAGGGTCTGGTGGAGGGCTTTGGTTAATTCGGTGATGAAACTTTGGGTTCTGTAAGCCGCCTATGAAGTTAGTTATATCAGTCACATTTACAGCTTTGTCATTTTGTATTTATTCTCAACAGGCGTTCCTGTAACAAAGAAACAAACTGAGTCCATCGAACCGAAGCCCTGCTTGAGAATCTAACAGTAGCCCATGTAATCACGTGCCTCGCCTTTTATGAAACATGAAGTTTCATGTCGTGTTTACAAAACTCCGCCTCTAACCCACATCCACAAGCAGATGAAGTCAATCCACACCTTAATTCCCCACCTCTATAAGACGCATTTTAATATTATCCCAGCAACTCATTGTGACCTTTTTTTCAGGTCTACCGATTAAAAAGTTGCACTTCTTGTCTCTGCCATGTGTACTAAACGCCCCGCCCATCTCATCACTCTTAATCTGACAGCCTACAATTGAATAATTAATGAATAGATCTATAAAGCTCCATATTACTCAATTTTCACCATTCCCTTGTCAGTAAATCTCTCACAGGACTAGATATTCTTCTCACTACCGAGTTCTCTCTAAGTCACTCTCAGTTGATTTGCACATGCGACAGTATGAAGAAAACCCCGTAACATGATCGACTGTTTTTCAGGAGATGGAGTCAAACCAACATCGCAGCTGTTTCCAAGTCGGCGGCCGGTGTAAGTGCACCGGAACATTTGTCCCTCTGAACGAGCTGAGAGAGAAGAACCGCTTGTGTGACGCGGTGCTGAGGTTGGAGGACGGCGGCGTCTTTCGAGTCCACAGAGTGATTCTGTCGATGCGCAGCGAATATTTCAGGTTTGTTTATTGACTGACGTGGTTAATTAACACGTTAAATAAGGACATAATAGACGTCAATTCGTATGTGAAATGTTATATCCCCTTTGATGCAGAAACCTCTTTTTTATACGGCTGTTTGTCTTTTGTTATTGTTCATTGTCATGAAATCTCACGGCGCCGTAGAAACTAAGTGGTATTTCAGACGTACTTACTGCCTTCTTTCCTTGATGATGGAAACAGTAAGCACCAATGAAACGTCCGACAATTTATACGAGACAACACGACGCAACATCCCTGAAGATGTACGTGGCCTTTTGTACTAATTTTTAAGTGCGGTTGTACCAAGGTGACAGTCAATCGATCTGGAGGGAGAAATAGAATCCCTTTCCAAAACTTCTTGCTTTTAATACATAAATACGACCAACAAAATCCAGAAGGAAGTTGATAATGCACTTTCGTCACGCCATTGTCCAACAACATTGAGAGCTGCTGTGTGTTGCTGTCTGAAACATAATAAACTGTAACAAAGAACGTCGCGAGAAATATTTCATTGTTAGGGGAGAATCTTTCGAGAATTTGTGCATACGTTAATTTGCTTGTGTTTTAAATAAAGTTGCTTTGCGTTCTTGAAATGAGGAATGAATTATAACCGTGAACAATTGTTTCTGTTTTCCAACACACTTTTCTCACGACTTGTTTCGAGCTGTGTCCCTTTTTCAGTTTTCCGACAATCAAAGCTTTCCGTTCGTTTTGCACTGCAAATCCCTTAATTTGTAATAGGAAATTGTTTGCTGGTTGGTAATCACTTTTTAAAGGCCGCGTATAATCATCGGCTTTTATTTTAAGTTGTTTATTGTCGGGTAAATGTTTTGACAGAGCAAATAGATTTCATATTACGAAATGATCAATCAGTGGAATGTACAGCCAGCGATGTATGTTGAAATTTTTGTGTTACTTTGCTGGTTGGCTTTAAAATTTCTGTAGGAGTTGTTATAACCTCAGATATCTCTTGAAGGAGTCAAGGGTATGTAAGAAACGATGTGACTATTCTATAGTACAAAAGTTCGCTGTTTGCTTTCCGATTTGTAAGTTATATTCTGTTAACCCAACGCAAGCTCTTCACCCTGTCGCAGTTAATCTGGTAAAATTAATATACATATGAGAGTTTTTGAAGTATTCAAATAACAAAAATTCATTCACCAGATTGACAAAAGGATACTTTTATTTGGCTACGTGAGTCACAAAATATTAAAGTTTGTGCGCATGACTTGTCATTTTCTGTTCGCCGTTTCTCCAAATCAACAACTGCTTCGTGACCTTTCAGGAATCTCTTCACGACAACACTGCATACCGGTGAGGAGACTGATGTTCTCCTCCGCGGAGTCAGCTCAGACATGATGACCCACATACTGGATTATATTTATTTTCGCGAGGTGGACATCCGCTCCGGCAACGCGTGTCAGCTGCTCGAGACGGCTGACTACTTGTGTATTCCGGACGTTACTGAACTCTGCTTCGACTTCCTCATGAACACGATGGAAGCCGACAACTGTATCAGCATCATGCAGTACGCAAGGTAATTTCTGTTCATTTGTCATTTGCTGTGATGCCAGCCTTCGTCGCTGGAGCGAATCAGCTTTATTCAAGACAGCAGAAGAGTGCCGGGTCGGAGATTAAAACCTCTGACTGAGGAATGGGCGAATTATAATGCGTTGGCATTTTGTTATTAATGTGTCTGTAATTTAAATATTCTGATTTAACTGCGAATGCTTTCATCGTCATAATGACCAGCAGATGTCTAATTTCACCATGTATAACATAATCACGACTTATTGCAGGGTCATAATTAAATCTGTCTTCCTCTCGAAATCCTTATCTTCGTTCTTTCTCTCTATGCAGCATTCCTTGCTTCTTACACAATCCTCCCAACACCAAAATCAACTTTCAGCCCAACATATTTCAGCATACAGGAAAACCTCTGAAGACAGAGCCTCGATTATCCGATTCCGGCATTAAGATACCGAATTTCAACCAGATTGCTTGCGATTGGATTCTAATGGCGAAAGTGTTTAATGCGATGTCCACGCAAAACCTCTGAGAACAGAGCCTCGATTATCCGATTCCGGCATTAAGGGACCGAATTTCGACCAGATTGCTTGCGATTGAATTCCACCGGCGAAAGTGTTTAACGCGATGTCCACGCGGTAGGACAATATAAAAAAACAACCCGCTGGTCCCCTTAGAAGATGAACCCCTACTCATTCTTGTTCAGGACAACATAGCAAGCAAATCCACTGGCATCGGCAGAATCACGTCACAACTTCCACTTCATGCGATGGACAGAATGACTGATAAATTCACTACTTTAGTACAGGGACTCCCTCGAACATCGCTCACGAGTGACTTTTGCCGTCGGATTGTGCATGCGACTCGCCCGCATCATCCGCCGACGAGGAAAATCTGTATTGAGTCTCTACTTATTTGTTCATATCCATGACCAAGTTCCCCTTCCCCAGCATATTCGACTTATCGGCGAATCCGACCTTTGGTTCCACCATATAGTCCGGTTAAACGAGGTTTCACGGGATTACCACACACAGTTAACACAACGTCGTTTCGCCAAGGTTAAGGCCAGAACTAAAAATTCTGCACTACACTACGTTTCATTGCTTTCTTCACTTGTGTACGCCATGCCCTTGTTTAAACCTATAACTTTATCACGAGGACGAGCGGGCATTGCCTGGGAACCTTCAGGTCCGAAAACATTTTATTTTGCACCGGTTAAATGGAGCATACATCATCGTTGCCTCTCCGCGTGTCTGCTCTCAGTCTCGCTCATTCGGACTTCAAACGGTTAAGGTCAAAATTGGAGGCGAAATACTGTGGTGTGCAAATGCTTGATAATCCAGTTCTTCCTGTAGCGTTTAATTGTGTCAGATTTCGAAGGAGATCGATTCTGAGTCGGCTCTTATCCTCGCTGTCGCAGGTTTCACTCCTTCGCCGACCTCGAGCCTCACGCTCGTCGCTTCGTTCTGCGCCACTTCGTGGAAGTGTCTCAGCAGAGCAAAGAACTGCTGGAACTGCCTGTAGAGGAGCTGCAAGCGATAATCGGGTCCGAGGATCTGAACGTGAAGGACGAGAAAGTTGTGTGGGAGTGCATTCTCCGGTGGATCAACCACCACCTGGACAACAGGAAAGGCCACATCGCGGGCCTTTTGAAGGGCGTCAGGCTGGGACTACTTGACGAACAATTTTTCAAGGAGCAGGTCAGTATTCCCCTGAAATTGTGGATGTTTATGGGAATTGAAGTCCACATTTTCAATTAAATATTCACACGTGTTCGTAACCAATTAATGCAAATCGTGAGCCTTTCTCATCGTCACTTGTAAGCCCGTCTGTCTGTCTGTCTGTCTGTCTGTCCACAGTTCTTGCTCGAGGACGTCTGAACGGATGTTCATGAGATTTAATACTGATTTGCTTTCACAGAATCTGTTGACACATTTCGATTCTGGTTAAAAAAGTCTTACAATAACAACGTAAAAACTTCACAATGATTTGAGTACCTTCTTCCGCGCAAAATGTTCTACGTAAGAAATCCCCAGTTTGCCTTAGTTTCCATGATTACAATAACTACCTGAGTAATGCCGCTGGTAACACGCTCGCATGTGTGTGTGTGTGTGTGTGCAAAATAAATATTCGATTCGTTCTCTTATGCGGATATGTGGTTCGAGTTAATAAGCTTTCACAGAATCTGTTGACACATTTTGATTCTGGTTAAAAAAAATCTTACAATAACAACGTGAAAACTTCACAATGATTTGAGTACCTTCTTCCGCGCAAACTTTTCTACGTAAGAAACCCCCAGTTTGCCTTAGTTTCCATGATTACAATAACTACCTGAGTAATGCCGCTGGTAACACGCTCGCATGTGTGTGTGTGTGTGTGTGCAAAATAAATATTCGATTCGTTCTCTTATGCGGATATGTGGTTCGAGTTAATAATCTTTTATTCATCGTCTATAAGTTTGACAGTCCGACTGCGCTACGACCTTTGATTGCAGTCTCAGCGTTTATTAAGATCGATTACTTTTCTACGTAAGAAACCCCCAGTTTGCCTTAGTTTCCATGATTACAATAACTACCTGAGTAATGCCGCTGGTAACACGCTCGCATGTGTGTGTGTGTGTGCAAAATAAATATTCGATTCGTCCTTTTATGCAGATATGTGGTTCGAGTTAATAATCTTTTATTCATCGTCTATAAGTTTGACAGTCCGACTGCGCTACGACCTTTGATTGCAGTCTCAGCGTTTATTAAGATCGATTACGTGTTTCAGTTCAACTACAGCATTCCACCGTTAACTACATTTTGACGTCCACGCAGCTTGAATAGGTAGGCTCTCCAACGGATTAATCACGTCTTCTGCGCAGCGTTCAACTTAACCAAACTTCTTACTGCCATAAGAAGCGTGTCTTAGCTGCTCTAATAATTTCACGCATCTCCGACGATATACATAGTCAACCCGAGATCACTTAGCATGATAAGCCTCAGCTGATTGACCACATAGGGGCAACAGATATCCGAAATTGCAGCAAGAAAACTTCGTTCTACCCCAAGTCAAATTCCCTGTGATTTCTGCCACTCACCTCTTAAGAATACGTGTGAACAATCGCACGGATCCATGAAAATGTTATCTGTCCATTCAATTTAGACAGGTTTTCTACTAATTTCGAACAATTAAGGAGAACCACCTGAGATGGAATACCTTCCTAAAAGTTTGTAAGATCCACGTTAAACTGTTCAACAGGTTTCAAAGCACCCGTACGTGACCGAGAATGAGGCGTGCAGACCCGTGATCTCGGAGACGCTCACATTCCTGGAAGACGTGAAAAGTTTGACGAAGGAAGACAAGGAATTCGTCACACCAAGGATTGCCCGCCCCCGAATTCCACAGGACATTCTATTTGCTATTGGTGGGTATCGTGACGGAAAGCCTTCAGATGTGATCGAAGCGTACGACGTACGAGCAGACTCGAGAAATAAATTACAATTTTGAATGTTACTCAAAATGCAACACCCTTGTTAAATGATGCTTCCGAGAAAAAGTACTTTTCCTCCTTTTTGTTTATTTTTACTAGGTAATTGTTTATTTAAGATTAATCACAAGGACCTCTTAGCCTCTTCATTTCGTGTTCGTTTATTTCCATTGCAGGGAACACTTTTTTAAGAGAAGCTTCAAATACATGAATTAAAAAGAATAAATAAATTACACACATATTGAGTCTCATGTTTAACATGGAAGTTCTAATAGGAATCGACGAAGGATGTGAAGATTGCCTTAAATACCGTTTACAATAGGCGTCCTACTTCAACTGTCATGGCAACCTGTCTGCTGATCTTAGACATCGTTGATCGTCAGTGGATTTCAACGTAATAAATGAAGCACTGATAAGTGTCGATGTTGGCCATCTGCGTGGTAACGCCTCGTGGATTAGAAAGCTGACACACTATTTGGGGTGGGGTGGGGGACGTACTGCCTCCAGCTTTGCGTGATAAAACCCAATACACCAACACCTGTCTTTGCCATCTTACGAACTTCAAATATCAGCTGTTAATCAGAACTTTTACATTTGTCTGTCGTACTTGACGAGAGCACTGGTAATGTTTGAGCTCACTTCGGGTCTTCCTGTTTCCTCCGCCTCTCATAATTCCACGATTGCTCGAATTTAATTTCTCACGGTCTTTGTCGAGTGCCACCCACCACGGTGTAGCAATTTCGGTCCACTGTTGCACCTCTGCTCCGGTGGTTGGTCGCTTGAACTTTAATGCAAGGACTTCACTTCAGTAGACCAAGTGACCCAAAGAAACATAAAGCCTGTCGTTCCTGCAGGTGGAGGGAGTCGACTCGATCGGTCCGCGAGGCAACCATCTTTCCCGGAAGCCCTTTAAAAAAATGAACACAATTTCTGGTAACTGGTCTAAGACAGACTTGATCTTGGTGTTTCGTTATCGCATCATTTAACAATGACGAGCGAACAATTGCGTTCTGCGAGAGGAAATGCATCTGAATAAGCTATAAATTAGCATAGCAGAGCGTGTTCTTTTATCGTTTCAGATGCAGTTTTAGTGTGGCAGTTCTGCGAGGTGCAGTGTACGCCATGGGCGGTTGCTATAGTGATATTTATCACAGCACGGTTGAGAGATATGATTGCAAGACGAACGAGTGGTTTTTGATCGCTCCCATGAACACACAACGAAAATCTGCAAGTGCGACTGTGCTGAATGGTCCGTAAATCCTGTTAAACAGTAGTGTACGAATTAGTGCAGAAGGCGAGGCGTCTGTCTGTCTGTCCGCGTGTAACAACGCAAGAACGGTTGAAGGAATCGCAGGATTTGAGGTTCTCACGGTGGCAAGTACGAAGATGGCCGTCGTTTGGCTTCAACTGACGTTTCAGACGAAATTTATGCCTTCATCTTCAAGGCATTCCTCCTCGCTCTTGAACTTATTTTCCCCCACTCCACTGTCCCATATTATTTTATTATCTCTTTCTTTTATCCGTGCTACGTACTACGTTATTTCACAGACTGCAACGGCTTGAAGTTCTGAGTGCGTGATGGTTTCTTCTGCTCTTGTAAGCTGTCCCTGTACATCGTCTTCGCGTCTGTAGTTTAAATTAGGAATGAATTCAAACAACCATAAAACTATGAAACGGGCTCTCAAATAATACAGATGTAATATGTTTTTGAGACAGTTAGTAATCTCATGTAAACAGCACATTGTATTATAAATGTAGAGCACCGCTTGGCACCTCGTACCGTACATCTCTGATACCAAATTTAATAAAACTCGTTTCACAGAAGATGTAACTTACCATTTTTTCCATTGTGAGTTAATGTAAACACTTTATGCTGTTTATATTAAATTTTATCAGTTAGGCTCGTTTCCTTTGACAAGCTGATTGTCTGCTTTCGAAATGAAGAAACATATGAACAGAGACAGCCGTGTCTGTGCAGTTTCTGTCATATGAAGGGGGACATTAAATACAGTATCATTAGTATATTTACAAATTTAAGTACGAATTGTCCCATGTCTGTGCTCTGTATGGACCAGTTTAATTATAGCTAATTTG